GCATTCGAGTCAGAATGGTGCAGTCTAGGTAGCTGTGTGTACTGGATTACCCTTGGTGTGCTTTTGGCGACGAACATGACGTTTACCAGCCAGCGGTTGAGAGAGCAGGCGGCCGAGGCGCACTCTTTGCTCACCCCACGCCACCACACATGTCCCGGCTAAATTGCAGAGATCGAGCCAGGACATCGTAAAAGCTTGGTCTGCGACAAACGCCCGCGTTTTCGCAGATGGCCACGACCTCTCGGCGGCTGGGCCGGCTGGGCGCTCGTCTCGGCAGGCCAGGGGGGAGCGACGTGCAGCACCAAGTCGGGCGATGGAATGTTCGAGGCGCAGTGGGCCAGGGAGGAGCCGCTACGAGGCGCTGAATGGTGATGCGAATCGCATTGTCGGCGAGGCGGGTCGCGACACGGAAGTCTGCCTTGAGCATTGCTCGACGCGACCCCGCCGCAGCAATGCTCGAGAATGATGACCTTGTCAGAGCCCAATCCTCTGGATGTGCTCGGGTTGAGTGGGCTGGTCCGTTCAGCACCACAAAAAAAAACCCAATCTCGGGAGTCTGGATTCTTGCTCACGAGCCAGCAGCCAGACGTCCCGAGTCATGTAAGCAGCGAGACGTGATTGTGTCAGATACCTTGCTTTTGGCCGCCGGCGACCGCTTTGCTCCCGGTGTCGGGCAGAGACAATAGACAGGGTGAACACCTTGTCTTGGGAGAAGATGGCATGCTGTGCCAGAGTGAGTCTGAAGATCGCAATCGTGGACGCCTCCCGTACTGAACCCATGCAAGGAAAGCTTCGTTCGACGCCCTTTGACTTTGCCAACCAAGCACATTGTCCCTGACACGGTGCCGAGATGCCCACGGCGGCCTCTGTCGTCGTCGGGACTGTGATCGAAGCCGGCGCCAGCCTCAGTCGCCTCCAAGTAGAGATTGGCTTTGACCTATTTTGAGCCAGCGCCTCGTCATGTGCCCGTGGTCGTATCGAGCATGGCCCCATGACAATCGAATGGCCACGCAAGAAGGTGGTACTGATGGACGACTGGTATGCGGGGACGAGACCAACACATCTCATAAACGAAACTCAACGGACAAGTGTACGCGGGCAACATCAAGGCATCTCACCAACACTACTCACGAATCCGTATACGTGGCCAACATCACATCTCACAACTCACGGCCAACCCAGATGGCCGCGTAGTCAGGCACATGTTACGTCCCCAATACAACCCGAACTCGCCGTTCCGTGTAGTGTCGCCAAACAAGAAAAAAACGCCAAACCAGCGTGATCCGTTTTCCGTGTGATATAATCTGGTACACCGTCCTTCGCTGCAATGCTGAAGCCCTCTGCCAACCGCCCCCCTTCTCTGACGAGACTACCACGTCTATGAAACGGGAGGCACCCACGCATACCGAGGCAGCTGCGACATCCTCTCCTCGGGGCTGACGTTCTCGTCCGAGTAGACCATGCGCGCGCCCTTCTTGGCCTTCCTCTCGCCGCCGCCGCCGTCCGCCTCGTCGCTCCTCTTCGTCTTGTTGCCGAGCTCGGCATCGCGGATGATCTGATCAATGGCATCGCCCACCTCGCCGGGCTGGCCCGTCGGTCCGCCGTTGTGGTAGCCGCCCGCGTTCTGCGGGCGCTGCGGCAGGCCAGGCGGCGCCGCGAGGTTGCCGCTGTTCGGCCTGGCGGGCAGCGCCGAGGGCGAGAATCCGTTGAAGGCGCCGGGCCCGCCGGGGAAGCCGGGCTGAGGGTAGCCCGGCGGCACGGCGCCCGCGGCCTGGGCCTGGGCATGGGCAGGGAACTGCGGATCGGCGGGCGCGGCGCCGTAGGGGGCCTGCGGAGGCGGGTAGGGGGAGTTATTCTGTGGACGAAAAGGGGGAGGATTAGCGCTCGAACTCTCTCTTTTTTTTGGCTGCGGTGTGATTTCGTCAAGGGGCAACGTACGAATGCGCCGGGGCTCGCGTTGGCCGGGGCGCCGGCGGCAGGGCTGACGCTGATACCCGGGTGCGGGAGGCCGGCCGCCTTGGCCGCGGCGACCTTGGCCCTGTGGTCCGCTAACCTCGCCTTGAGCTCCTCGGGCGTCTCCATCTTGAGCTTCTTCTTCGGGGGCTTCGCCTGGCCCGGCAGCGGGTTGCCTGTCGCTACGCGCCTGTCCTCCTGGGCCTGGTAGAAGTTCTGGATGATGCGGTTGCGGTGCTGGTCGAGAATGTCGGCGGGGATGCCCTCCATACCGAATATCTCCACGTCGAGGCCTTGCCTGTTGGGCAGCGCGTTTTCGACATGATCGAGGGTTTCCTTGTGGACCTGGTTCAGGTGGACGGAGAGACCTGCAAAAGGGGGCATGAGACGTCAGCGGCCGGCAAAATGGGCGGAGGACAAGCGCGCGTAGGCCTACCTCCAGCCGTGTTCAATCGGCGTCCACAGCGGTCGCACTTGAAGTGCTTCGCCTTTTGATGAGAGATGAGAAGCTTCAGATCTTCAAAGTCGCGCTCGCCTGCGTCTGGGTCAGTATCTGCGGTGTGCGTCCATGGGTGATTGCGACGAACAGTAGTAGCACCACGGACGCGCCAGGATGTCCTCGACATCGGGGTGCGCGCGCTTCTTGCCCATAGCTGCAACGGCCGGTCCAAGTTGACAGAGGAGGAACAGAAGATTCGGGGAGGATGAGGCTTCGCGTGTATGTTTGGCGCAACGTAAGGCGTGTCAATTCGTGTCGCCGTTGCGTCCTACCACGATGCAAAAAGCTGGTGGAGAGGAGGATTGAGCTGCTGGGAGCATCACGAGAGCTGTGCTAGTCCAGAGTGGGAATAGCGAGAGCACGGTCGCTGTTCTGTATGTGACGGGAAGGGAGACCCACATAAACCAAAGCGCAAGGGTCACGTGAAGAGGACATACGTCAAGGCTCGAGCTGTGAGATCATGTCGGACATGTTCTTGACCACGAACTCAAGCGGAAGGGAATACAACAGCTGTGCAAAGCCGCTTACAGAAATATCATGTGGTGTCACTACACATGATCGAATCGGGGACTTTCGACTTCACGATTCTCGACCACACACTGGGAGCAAGCAGTGTTGGCTGGCTACGACAAGTACCCTATACAGTAGATGATTAGATAATTTGAAGGTCCCCCATGAAAATTCCAAGCTCAACGCAGATGAGACGATTTGCAAACCACACCGACTTTCCCTGGGTGGGAGGGTGTCCCGCCCTGGTGTTTCGTTGGCTGCGATGAGAGGTTCTTCACAGCGAAGAGATTCGCTCCGAGGTAGGACAAACAACCTATCTTGCACAGGTTTTTGGGTGGTTAGGAGCCGAGGGATCTCTGCTGTTCATTGGGTGGATGTAAGTGTTCCGATTCGTTCTTGAAAGGGTTGTTCTGATGATGTGCCTTGCACGCCGCCTCCAAAGCCTGTCATCAATCAACATCTGTACCACTTGTTTCCTGTTATCCCTGGTCGCCCAGACATACCGCACGCGGATCATGCCTTGAATGACTTTGAGCAGCCACGCAGACGACCGCAAGATAACTCGCACATGACTGCAGACAATTCGCGACAGGTAATCGAAGCCAAATGACACATAAACCGGGCGCTGGAGATGCCTGACGTGTTCTCATTCGGCCATCGGCCATCTGCGCCAGGAAGCACATAGAGTGCTGACAGGAAGCTGCATGCCAGACGCATTGGCCGTCAACCCCTGGACCTATGAGCTTCAAGGCCGCATAACAGCTGTAGACAGAACACTCGAACCCCCTCGTGGGATGAAACACCGCCAGCCAGTTGCCTGAACTGATGACGGTCTTCTGCCTGTGGAGAACAGGAGGCGATTCTCAGGGTACCGTAGCTGCAAGAAGGCCTCTCAGGAAAAGCCCTGGCCACTACACATGACACGTAGGGAATACTGTTGCCATGCCTTCATGGGACAAGTATGTCTGAAACCGGACACACAAAATGTGAAGGTTACAGCACAACTGCTAGCCAAGCGCACAGCAGAGAGACAGAGAACGGAGCGATGTAGAAGCTTGGCGAGCGCGATGACCCTGAGAGTGGTGAGGTGGCGGAGAAGCACATGTATCTAGCGACCAGGTCGGTGACATGACGTGTTTGGCCATTAGATGTTGGATCGTTGCAGTAGCGGTCAGCGGCGGCGTGTTTGGCCAAGCCTGAACCAGTTCCGATGCTGTTGAACCATGAGAGGTCGTCACAGCAAGACGAAGTAATGGGAGTGGGTGTGGTGCCATGCTAAAGGAGAAGAAGAGGTAGAGCGCAAGACGAAAGACCGGGGGGGGAGGGGGAACGGCGTTGAAGCGTGTACTTTGATTGGTCAGTTAGATGGCATATGGCATCCTCCTGCTCCGGTCACTCACCACATAAAAGCTGAGAGAGCCCCCCTACCCTCCTTCTCACATCTCTTCTCCCATTCAACCCTCCTCTCTCCATTTCATCGAAAAACCCGAGCAAAGTTATCCCAAACCGTCCACCCCGTTGACCATTCATCAGGGGGTAGTAGTCAGAGCCTGCCACTACCCATCAGGCTCCTGACGTGCCACCTACACATCTTTATCTGTCCAACTGGCCATCATGGTGACAGACCGAGGAGGCAGTCATGAATCTTCGGTCGCAGGACCACGGGATCGTCTCATGATGGCTTCGCAACACTCCTTGGATCGACTTGATGCCAGACCAATGGGGTCGTCGTCCGTCGTGGACGCCGATATGTCCACGCTGATGAGGGAACCCAGAACAGTGGCATCCATCATTGTGCGCCCGGATCCATCGATGCGTCTGGAGCCTGGTAAGCCCCAAAAGATGAGAAAGCCCGAAACTTTTCCTTCATCGTTGTCATGTGGTCCAGACTCGGGTCGCCGTCGTCGTCGTCGTGATGATGGCAGAGGGTCACGTGATCCCACACCACTTGGCGCCCGGCTGCATACGCAGAACACGCAACAGCCATACCAGCGCCAACCAAAGCGTCGTCGTGCGGCCTACAGCGGCGCTGCTGACCGGACATCTCTCATCGAGGATGACCTAGCGTCGATCGGATCCTGGTCGCACGACGAGCCCGTCAGCGGCGAGGGTAAGCCAACCCCGGCATGGAGTGGCTGCCCCCCGGAAGCGCCTTCCCCGTCCCGCACGCCGTGGATTCCCAGGCTGGCCACTCCAGAGCTCAGCCCGTTGGCCACAGACTTTGAGTTCTGCCACTGCCACGGCAACGACGTGTGCGAGGACAGGATCAACGATGTGTGGTATCTTTCGAGCCGCGCGAGGGTCGATGCACAGGGTAAGATACTTCATCCACCCCTCAGCAGAGTTGTCGTGGAACCGAGCCCGAAGCGGCGGCTGACCCCTTGATCAGTGGAAGCTGCATTGGCTCACATTGCCCGAGTCAACCTGGATCACGCTTCTTGGGAGTGAGCCGAGCTGAATTGTTGTTCGTCGAGCTTGGCGGTATCGTCGATCAGAGCGAGTCTTGAATTTGGATAGCGTTGCAGGCGTGACGAGGGACAGTTTGACAAGTGAGCCTGTGATGGAACGAGACTTATGATGAATGGGGGCGTTGGGGCGTTTCGCAGTATTTGATCAATGATTCACGAAGTCTTTTCAGATCGCTGATGAAAATCGATGACCGTCCTGGTAAGCGCACCTTGCGTCGACATTGGGTTTTCCAGATGGTTTGCATCAGGCAGCAGCACTGCTCGACAAGGTGAGTACGAGGGGAGGCGATGCCTCTAGGCATCTCGGCGTCAAGAGCCTTCAATCATCGTATGAGTTGACATGGTACTTCGGGTCGGCTTCAAGAGTCAGTTCCATGCCTCTTTTCGTAAAGATAGTCGGTTTGTAGATTGTTGAAGCTGTTGCTGGACGTTGGAGACATGATGTTGGTGATGAAAGAAGGGGTGAGGTTGATGAGAGCGGGGAAGTGACCTTCTGAGTGGGAGGAATGATTATGTCAGCATGTACGTCTCATCCGACGGCAGCCCGCCGCTGGCCTGGTCACGAGTATTTCAGGTCCTGCAATCTAGCTCCTCTCATACATGAGTCTGTGTTCGGCTCGAGATCAAGGCTGAATTGCGTAATTGTCTGTTCTGCTAGATAATATTTGCTGGTATTCGCTCATGTCGTAGACGGATGCCTTTGGTTCCATCTAGAAGTTTCGGCTTCCTCATTTTCACGAGCATGGCGATTAGAGGATTTCTTCCCACTCATCTTGACAGCAATATTCAACGCTCGTACTCTCAAGTCTAGTTCTTTTCGCTAGGGAGGCTGGTAACTGCTGTGTCCTGTGCCATTCTCTGCCATTCGAAACTGAGCGCGAACATGCGAAAGTGCCGCCAACAAACTCTATGCACATCAGACCATGGCATCTATCGCAGGAGCTATAGTCATTCTATCGTCAAGCATCACACTTTGAACGACGCCATCGAGACCTGTCAACGACTCATGCTCCTTCACACCCTGCGTCCGCTCAGCCGCGCTCCCCCCTCTATGACGGGAAAAACGTCAAGTGCCGCGGCACACTGAACTCGCCGGTGCCCCGCAACATCTGGAGCCCCGGAACGACGCCTACACCGCACTCCTTCTGCCTCCGCAGCAAATAAGCCACGTCCTGGCTCAGCCCCCAGCTCGAGGACCCGTAGGACACGCTATCCTTGACCGTAGCCCTCAGCACCGCCGTGAAGCACCTGACGCCGGGGATCTTCTGCAGCCCCATCTCCCTGAAGAAGTCGTAAAAGTTGTCCACCTCGTGCAGGCGCCGCACCTCGGCCGCCAGCGCAGCAGCCGCCCCCGGAGGCGGCGCGCCGTGGCGGTCAAACAGCTCCTCCCTGACCTGCTGCAGTGGCTTTCCGCGACCCGGCCTCGCGGTGCGGCGGAACAGCTCGGAGAACATGAGCAGCCGGTACGACGTGCGGCCGCCCTCAAACGTCCTCTTCAGGCGGTAGGGCGACTCGGCGTCCGGCTCGAGGTACGACAGCTCCGGCATGCCGGCGCCGCGCCTGTCGAAGAGCCAGACGACGTTGCGCGTGATGGCCTCGGTGATGATGTCCTTGCGCAGCAGTTCTGTCATCTCGACGTCACTGATGAGGAGGTAGACGAGCAGGTGGCCGAGGTTCGGGCAGACGGACTTGTGGCGCTGGCCTGAGGCGAAATCGCGGATGCGCCGGTTCGCCGTCTCGACGAGCGCCCTGTCCTCGGAGGCGAAGCAGACGAGCATGTGGAAGAGGTGGAAGTACGACTCAATGGCCTTTTCAGACGCGTGGCGCAGCGTGCTTTTCGGCGCCGGGGGCTCTGTCGGCAGCTACGGTATGTCCCACATGGGCCAGGCGGCGGCCTGCGGCTTGGCGGGCTCTTTGACGTGCTTGTTGAGACGCACCACAATGTCGTTCATAAAGGCGGCCAGGACATCGAGAGTCAGACGACGACCCAGGCCCGCATATTTTCCAATCTGGGCGAGTCTCATCTTGGCGTCGCCCCGAACCTGAGCCCAGTGCCGTTACGAGATGGGCAGAGGCAACCAGTGGTTGAAGCTGATCCCATGGACGGACTGCCTGATGCCGAGCTTCCTGAAGCCCTCTTCCGAGAGAAGGTTGAACGCAGACTCGATCGACTTGTGGCGCCCTTTCCGTCGAGTGACACACCGACGCCTAGTTTGGCACAATTAAAGTTGGCCTTGGTGAAGAAGCACTGCAACTCCCGCAGCCGAACAACATCTCCCTGTACGATGAGGTCGCTGACACGAGTCCAAGCCTGCTCAAAGGCAGTAAGGTCCCTAAATTCGAGAGTGTCGATGATCGTCAAGAGGATTTCAGCGGGCATCTGCGCCAAGTGCTGGCCGCTGTGGTGGTCAGGCCTGGCAGGTGCTGCTGCAGCAGCGGCCTCTTCGAGGGCAGCGGCCGCTTGCAATCGTTTTCTGTGCGCCCTCTTGGCGTCTGCCCATGTGCCGCTCTTGAATTCGCACCGCTCACAGTCGAACGACTGCGGGTAGTTGCCTGTTGTCGTTCCGCACAGAGAGCAAGCTCACCGTGCGGCCGCCGTAGACCTGCTCCAGGGTCTCGCTCGTGAAGAAGCTCAGCATCTGGATGGCCACGCCCTTGAGTGTGTACGCTGGAGTCCAGTCTGCAGCTGTGTTGAGGATGCTGGCACACAGGTAACTGCCGATGACGTATGGATGGCTGATCCGGGTGTCCGTAGATATACGCGGGGCGCGGAGAGGATACTCTGGCGGGAACATGACCGTGAGATGGATGGGAATCCAACCAGGCGGCGTGAGGACTAGGCAGACTTTGAGGGTATTGCTTTCGTCAACATGCAACTGGATGGGGGGATAAGGCTGCTCTTGCAATTCGGCGAAATCACAAAGGAGACGCCTCTTGTGTAGAGCGAGCTTTTCTGTAGAGCTCGAATTTGCCATGATGTGCGATATGATGGTGTACAGAGTGGGAGGGGAAGTATAGGAATGCCTCAATAGAAGCTTGCATTGGGGTTGTTGCCCAAGACGCGGGTCTTGAGGTCTGGTGGGTGTTGAATGGAAGGAGCGGCCAGTCGTGTCGCGGAATGACGAGGACGACCAAGTTGTAGAGAATGAAAGAGTCAAATGCGGTGCATCGCGAGACGCGTGCCCAACCCCTTTGAGGAGCGTCAAGGAATAAATGAAGAAATGGTGGGATGGCCAATCACCAAGTGTATGATTGGTGTTGAGTGTTGAGCAACTCGCAAAGAGTGCGTGAAGAGTGAAATCTATGTTGAATCGATGGGCAGCCCGCGTCTCTGTATACCATTATTCTGGGAGGCTTAGGTAACGTACCTGCCCTAGCAGGTGAATGAGGTTGACGAGAGTCTGTTTGGCCTCATTTGGCTTCACTGAGTTCTGGTGACTGAAATTGGTAGGGATGGAGTGAGGTGAGGATACAACAGCGACCGTGCGCGTGACTCGTGCCCGACAAAGCCCTCGAAGCTGCAAGATCTAGTTGACACGGAGTGCAGACTGCAAGACTGGTATGTGCGACCAAAAGAGAAAGAGACGTCACAGTCGTGCACCATAACGCAGATGAGAATGAATTCTTTCCCACAATCCATTCTATCACTCGCTGCGAGCCCATGCAAGATGACACAAAAACATTACAAAATAAAACAAGACCCCCCAACAGGCAGGGCCATCGCTGCCATCCAACTCCGAAGGCCTATGCAATCGGCGCGTTGCCATAATCATGTATTCCAGCGCTTTATCAAGGATCAAGCTTTGCCGCTTGAAAGACGATAAAAATGCAGCGCTCATGCTCATGCCGCAGCCTGAACCTTCATCTTAATCCTGCGAAGTGAGAAGAGCGAAGATTTGCTATCGAGAGCCCGCTTCTTCGGATCCCAGAAGCCCAAGACGTCGAGGAGGATGTAGCTGGTCTGAGTTTCGAGCTCCACAATGCCTGATACCTGGATCGAGCCACGGGGCGGGTAAGGCCTCGCCCGTCCCCACGTCCTGTCAAGTTTGATGAGGAACTCCGCGAACGGTACTGTGGACATTTGCGGAACATTACTAGCAAGCGAAGGATCATCATCCTTGGAAAACCTAGTCTTGCCGCCACTCGGAGCGTTGCTTGGCGGTTGCATACCTGCAGACCCCTTGCCAGAACCGGAGGGAGCGTCGGCGGGCCTGCCGTCGGGAGTCTGGCGTCCTGCGGAAGGGAACTTCGGGTGATCGAGAGCCGCGGTTCGTGGTTGGGAGAACGGGCCCGAAGGAGGTGGCACGTCGAACCCGAGTAGCCTCTGAAACTGAAACCAGTGCTGCTTAGCCATCGCTGATGCGTATGCCCAGCTCGCCTGTGCAGCGGCCGTGGGCCATAAAATGTTGTGCAATCGGGTCGCTTTCAAGGAGTCGATCGTTCGGGCGGCCCAATGCAGACCGTTACCGTCCCAAAGAATACTACGCTCAAAGTCAGCAAGGTAGGGGCAATGATGCAGCGCACGAGGATGCATACCCAGATTGTTCGAATGTCGGAGGTGGTCGGGGTGGGAAGTCGATATCGAGCCAGTATTGGCGAATTCGCATGATGTTGCGATAACGAGGATTGAGCATCGGTTCCTTCTCGACTACATCTTTCGCTTGGAGAGCCAACTCATCTGCGGAGGTAGTGATTAGCAAGCCGCTCCGTACAAATGATCAAAGAGCGGATGGGCACACACTTCGTATCCTACGTAGCAGCGGCTTGTCTTTGCTGATCGTGGTATATTGCGCCCACTCCGGGTCGCTGCTTCGGTACGGAGGGGACCAGACCTGCGCAGTCGTGAAGGGCATGGGGAAAAATATTGAATCGTCGAAGTTTTCCAGCTCTTTGTCCAGCTTTTTCTTCTCGTTCGTCGACAACGACTCGTACTCTCGATCCAGAAATTGCAGTAATGGGGATATGACTTTGGCGTCATAATATTGACAGCCGAGGTAGGTGACGCAACCGCCGACGAATACATTCCTATCCCATGGTAAGCAAGGCCGATCGGCGGCAAGGAGACAGGACAACACACCTCATGAATTTCCTAGGCGAGGAAGCGAATCGCACCCTCTGGACAGTGATCGACTGTGGAGGGAAGGAGCTCCGGGTTTTTTGTGCCGCCCGGCGTGCTGCCCGAAAGCCAGCCGCTGGCCTAAACAACCTCAACATTTTATTTGGGCCGAACAGCCAAGCGGCGCGGTTATACTGTCGAGCGTGTCGGTGTTGCTGAAGTGGCGGGTGTTGAAGCGCGAGGGGCAGTGTCGGTCGGGCACGATGTCAAATGGGACGGTTGTCGGAAGTAGTCTGGCGCCAAAAGAGGCCGTGTATGTAAGAAAGATGCAAGCACGGACGGAGTGTCAAGACCGCTGCACAGAGGGCCGGATTTGAATAGATGTCAAGTCGTGCTGGCGGCTGACGTATCGCCAATGCTGGCGTCTGGCGTAATGGCCGATTTGGCACGGGAGGCAGCGGTCGTGTTGCAAATGCCACCATGTCAAAGGTCTTATCAGTCACAGTGCCACCCGATAGCGGCGACGTTTCCCGCTGGCGCTCAATGATGCAGACTGTGTTCATCCCGGGTTACACACTGTACGTGAGTTGCATGTGTCATGGCACCTGCTCCAATGTCATTTCATGTCAAACCGAATCCAGTCAACTGCTCATTTGTTTCATCATCAAAGGCCGTGCCATGACTGGAATCAGTTTGAGTAGATTTCTATACAATCGAGGCAACGTCCTGGGTAATAATTGTCCCCGCCGACTCTTTCGACGAGCTTGGTTGCAAGATGGCGCAAAGTCCGTTTGTCGTGCGTTGAGGATGACCAAAGAGAACTTACATTCTCATGGATCCTATTGTTGTGCTCATAACTCTCATGCTCAGTAAAGTACGTCAGATTGAAGAACTTACCGCACTCCAGATCAGAGCATTCATCGTTAAGATAGTTGAAGACGAGGGCCCATTTGCCCTCACGCATCTTCACGTCGTCCAGAGAAATCCTACACAAACGAGAGGTTCCCTGCACCTCAGGATGTGGCCGTATCAGGTCGAGAAGGCTATCAGGTGATACGTAAACACGACTCAAAGCCAGCACCTGTAGACCCTGCCATTTCGAATCCGTGGCCGTGCTCCAACCCAGCAGATCCAGGTCGAGAAAATGGGACCCTTGGATGTAGAGAGCCTCGAGATTGTGGCAACAGCGCACGAAGGCCCACAGCGCCTCCTGGTGTTTCCTGTTGGGATACATGCGCTGCACGTTGCTGTACGGAAAGTTCGCCTCGTCCTCTTCCTCAGGGTCGTCATCGATAACGCCGTCCGCCATGTCGTCGCGATGGTTAGGGTCGGCGCGGCTGCTGAAATCTCGGTTGCCGCACGAACCCGTCTGGTCCATGATGACAACTTGGAGGTGTTTCAAGCGTGTTCGTGCTTCCATGTCGAGAGCGTTTGCAAGCTCTCCAATGTAGTGTGTGGAAGGCACCTGAAGACGAAGATCCGTTACATGTTGAAATGCCGGTGAGTTCGTGAAAGCGTCGTGAAATGTGGTCGCTATCTCGTCCAGTGCTGTCAGAACGTAACAATCTGCCCAATTGTCGCCGCTGCCCCTCCAGTCTCCGTCGTAATCAGCTTCAGCTAGTGGCAAAGTCAAGCTGAAGGTCTGAATCTTGTTCAGAGCAGCGAAAACTTGAGGGATTCTGTCGTGAGTCTCCGTCTTGTCGTAGTGGAGTCGTAAAGGGTCCGGCGCCGGATGCCGCTCCCCCCCGTCTCCCGGCGAAGGGTACCATACCGGTTTGTCCTCGTACATGGGGTCGTTGTCGTAGTGAATGTCTTCATAAAGCCGTCTGAAAGACTGAACACTTCCAGTGTCGTCGATGGACAGCTTCGACACAGGTTGTTGCAAAGGAATCTGACCTAGAGGAGATGGAAGAGCATTGACAGCCCGTCCAATCGACGTCGCCGAGTCGAATCGCAGACGCCACAGATGATGCTTCGCAAGCATGAGGGTTGCACTTGTGTGCCAGTCGTGAGAAACAAGGCGGATTCCGAGTAGGCTTTCCACATCAAGCTCGAGCTGGTAGAACCTCGTTGATTCCCACACATCACTTCGTGTAGACGGTTGCCAAACCCGTACTGCCCGGGCCGGACCTAGGCTAGCAAAGGAATCCCAATCCACAGTTCCATACTCCTTTTCGGGATAGCGGTCATTCAAGATAGGAACAAGAAAGTACGATACCACTTCGTCACGAATCTCTGACGGTAGACGCATGCTGGTGGGTTTTGAGTTGCTCAGAATGTTTTCATCTGCAGAAGATCTGATCAGCGATCAAAACAGCGAGGCGACCGAACATATTTATATGTTGAGCTTCACTGCTCTCCGCCATGTCGGAGGACGCATGGATCCAGCCCTCATTGGTAGCCACACCCTCTGCTGCCTGCATGGGATGAAGGCAGACACGGAGCGGAGTCTCAGAGGGAACATGATCCCAGGTGGTCGCGGGTCGAATACGTATGGGCCGTGCACGACTCGACACGTGACCGTCCCAGCAATCATGGAACGCAGGCATCCACCAACCCAAGCTTCAGCAAGCTCCAGCCAACTCCAGTCGACACGTCCATCAGCCAGCACGCGGACAGTTCCAGTATCAAGGCCGCGAAGCAACCCGCCCACCCATCACTATCGTCGAGCTTCAATCCGAACCGATTCAAGATGAAGTTCTCCCTGGGCGTTGCGGCAGCCCTGGCAGGCTTCACCAGCGCTCTGCAGCCTGCTGACGTATATATCCTGCAATCCAAGCAGGCTTCGACCTCTGAGACCCCCTCTTTGCCACGGCAAGTCGCACGTCTCATCCTTCTCCAGCGCCTAGCACCCGAAGCCTGGACCGACTCGCTCAACGATATTCCCGAAGACGTGACGACCGAGACCGCCGTCTCGTATATCAACCAATTCGGCAAGTCGCCTCAACCGCTTTTCGACAACAAGGTCACTTCCGAGCCCTCGCAGCTGCTTGTTATGCTCGAGGGTATCTCAACCGAAGATGCCAAAACATTAAAGAAGACCCTGAAGGGCTCCAGCCCGGCATTCGAGGTCAACGATGCGCCGTCATCCGTTGCCAACCACAATCTGGCGCAGAGTGACATGGTCTCCGCTGGCGTCGGCGCGACCAACTGCGATTTCGTGCGCGCCATCAACCCTTTCGAGGAGGAGTGCTGGAGCGGCAAATCTTCCGTCGCCGTATTCGACGTCCGAAAGGTACGCTCGCTCTCAGCCCAATATGCCGCACCACGGACTAACAGATCCTTAGGACACCGCCATCCTCGCTTCTCTTGCCGACAACATTTCGCGCCTCCAGAAGCTCGCGCAGAGCGGCGAGATGGAGACCACCCTTGTCCTCCTTCCTGAGACCTCCCGTGTCTCCTCTCTCAACGCCTGGTCCAGCAAGCCCCAGTCCCTCCGCCATCGCCAGGTCGCCGAGGAGGTCATGACGGAGGCTGACGAGCCCGCCCCCACCACTGCTGCCTCTGAGGTCGAGGCCGCCGACGTGCCTCTCGCATCTTTTGTCCGTGGCCGGGACCTCCCCTCCTGCTTCGCCTCCGCCGACAGCTGCCAAAACTCAACAGGCAACTGCTCTGGCCACGGCAAGTGTGTGAACAAGTACGCCAGAGAAGATGGCTCCGACTCCGGCACATGCTTCTACTGCCAGTGTGAGTCGACTCGCCCCGACAATGGCTCCGTCACACACTGGGCGGGCGCCACATGCAGCAAGGTCGATGTCAGCGCGCCTTTCTGGCTGTTCACTGGCTTCACGATCCTCATGGTTGGCATTTTGACCTTCTCCATCGGCCTGCTTTACAGCATTGGCGAGGAGAAGCTGCCTGGTGTCATTGGCGCTGGCGTTTCCAAGTCGAAGTGAGTGTTTGAAGGAATGAAGTCGGAAGCTCGGAGAAATCGAGAGGGAGGCAGTGAGGAGGGGAGAAATGTGTGCCCGTAATAGGGAGTGATAAGCGAGCAAGGTAGTCTGTACCATAGGATGTATCCTCATGCGGCGTTGGTTCTGGCAGGATGTCTCCTGAAATGGAGCTTTTCTTTATACATTAGACATGCAATTGGCATTCCAAGAAACTGGTCGGATCCCCGTGATATGATTGGAAATGCGCTCGGCGAAGAAAATTGTAGGAAAGGGGTATCAAAGGTTCTGTTTCAATGGTCCGAGCTATCTCATCACTCGTCACCTACATCAGGCCGTCGGACTGGCGTTGTGCCAAAGCTCTCGAGGCCCCTCTCGACCGCAAGCTCGCTCATGCCGGGGTTCTGAATCTGTCTGGCGGGCGATTGTCCTGCTTCAAGCGTCGAGCCCGAGCCTCCCAAGATGGAGGTGTACCTCTTACCCGCCTCGTCCAGCAGAGCTTGGACTTCTCCTTCTCTAGCTAGAATCGCCTCCCTCTCCGCCTTGAGCCTGTCCAATGCAGTCTGCTTTTCTCGCAACGCACCCTCCATTCCCCGTAACGATAGACTGAGCTTCTCCAGACAGCCGTCGAGCTCTGGCAACGGAGTGATTTTGGCGGGAACCTGCAGCAGCGCTTCTGCTGGGTCCCTCTTCTCGGGCTTGCTCAACCCGTCCATGCCACTGCGCGTCTGCGCCGCCTCGAATGCCGCCCGGCGCTCGGCGTCGCTCTCGTCCGATGACTCCTCCGAGTTGCCTTCCGCCATCTGGATCTGCTCGGCCATCTCGCGGCGTCGACGCGCCTTCTCCTCGCGCTCTGCCTTTTTACCCAGCGACAGACCGCCATCTTCGACAAAGTCGTCAAAACCCTCGCCGAGGTCTTCGTCTTCGGGCACGAGACGCGTGTTTTCTGATAACCTTGCCATCCGTCCGGTCGTCGCCCTCGGCATCCAGGAGATGAAGTTTTCTTCTCTAGAAAATCGCGCGCGCGCTGCTTCCGCTCCTGAATCTCCGTGTTGCTGAGTATGTTTGTCTGCTGGGGCACTGGGGCTTCGCTGTACGTGCTCTCGTTGACGATCAGCGCGCCTTTCGAGTTCGGACGGGTCCAATTCCATCTCGTCGTCGCTCGTGCCGCGCAATGAGGAAATAGGCTGTGGTGTATTGGGAGTCGAGCTCTGCAGCTCGTCGAGAAACTCCTTGCTGTAGCGTGGCCGGTCCTCTTCATCGTCGTTGAATCGGCGCATGGGAAGACGGTGCGTGAAGCCCGGCTTCTTGATGGCGCTGTTCTCGGCCGCCTGCTGGCCGAGAGACGACTTCTTCGGCGTGCTGAAAGCGGCGTCGCCAGCACCTTGACCGGGACCGAAGGACAATCGAGAGGTTGACGCGCGCTTCTTCTGTTTGGTCGAACCGGCGCGGCCGATGGTGGGACGGATCACGACCGGTCCGTCGTCGTCGTCGTCGTCATTGTGTGCGGTGGCTGCCTTCCCAGGTGTCGTGGATGCGCCGTCGGCATCGTCGACTTGATTCACGTTGATGCTCTTGCGCAAGCCGGACTGTCTTAATGGTTTTCGCGTAAATTTGGGCGCGGGGGCCCCTGTGCGAAGCTCGTCAGTCTTTTGCGTTTCGTTGCCGATTAGCGGAGGGTCGTGAAGCAGAGGATCGCAAGACATACCTTCGCTTACGGACTGCTGATCGGTCGTGATTGCGCTGCTGCCGAGGGGAACGTCGTCGTCATCGTCCACCTTGATGACACGCGCTTTCCTTTTTGCGAAAGAACTCATGGCGAGACAACTGATGTTCGTCCACGGGTGATGATCGAATGTGCTCTGAGATGGGTCGGTTACCAGAGCTTCAGTCAGTTCCAGGGAAATACATGCTTATCAGACCTTCGGCTGTTCCGATAAGAACACGTGATCTTGAATTCTTGATTACCGCCCCACCATGGCTCTAGGCTGAGCCTGAGCTCCTTGTCGCGTCGCAAGGCTCAGCTCTCAACAGCAAGTTCGGTCAGCCTTGCCAACATCAAACGACAACATGGCGCCCGCTCAACCAGAACTCAAGAAGGTACGTAAAGTGCCGGTGACCACCGGCATCTTGGTGTAGCCTGCAAGATGCACGGGCAGCTGCGCGGCTGCGTCCGCAGCGGCATGCAATTCAACGTGTGAGGGGTCGATGCTAATCTAGGTGTAGTACCTCGACAAAAGGCTGTTTGTGCAACTCAACGGCAGTCGCAAGGTTATCGGCGTTCTTCGTGGATACGATGTAAGCATCTCCAACCACTTCGAACCCCGCACAGTCAGCTGATTACCCTTAGGTCTTCCTGAATATCGTGCTGGACGAGGCGGTCGAGGAGAAGGAAGGCGGCGAGAAGGTGCGGATCGGCATGGTGGTAGGTCCTCACTTTGTTACCCCTTCGTCTTCGAATGCTGACAATCGCAGGTAATCCGTGGCAACTCTGTCGTCATGCTCGAGGCCCTCGAACGCATTGGTGGTGACGACCGCAGGCAACAGCAACACTAGACACGGCATTTGACGACTCGGGGTTTTGAACTGGCGTTTATATCGGCAAAAGACATCTGTGAAACGAGGAGAAAAGGGACGGAAGGACGAATCTCCAGATACCAGCCACAGAGACAAGCGCAGAATTCGGGACGAGCGAACGAGCTAATCAGTGCCCACCTATCAAGTCTGCGATACGCATTTCAATCACGTATCCTCCTCACCCCGTTCAAGTACGCTGAACCCGTGTGTCGACAATGTCTTCAACCCGGCGCGCCACACTTGCGTGCTCTTGAGAAGGCCTTGACCATATGAGAGACAGGTACATGAAGCTCGTCATATCGATACCGGATCAAGGCGTTGGAATGACGTGGTCCTGGACTGAACAGGGAACGCCGCGCAAGATTTGACAGCTGTGATGATTCTCCCAACCAAGGGCTAGCACTTTACTCACAGACAAAAGCATGCCTCTCGCGCATCAATATCTTAAAGGCACAATACCGTAATTTCCATTGATTCATGCTGCTGACTGGCTGGTGGACTATGGCGTGAGACCTTGGCATATGCGGGTTGACAGGAATATCCTCAGCCCTCCTGATAGACTAGTGCCTCAGCAGACAAAAGCATGCACCACAGCTTTGAGATACATTATTCCAGCACTCTGATGCGAAAACTCGCCAGCCCACCGGGTGCTTGGTAGTCCACCGACCCGCATCAGTCACAGTACGTCAGATTGTGGTGTAGCATCGCATTGCCCAAGACCACTGAGAACCACGAGACGCTTAATATGAGGCGTGGCCAGCTTGGTTTTGTTAGTATCCCTTACCAGTCGAAGATTTCTAGACAGCCTTGGCTGGCGCCTGCCCGCTCGGGACCCACTGAGGCCTTTTACAAGCCCTCGTCTTGCGAATCCTTCGTTGCAGCCATTCTCCCAACTGGGGCCGAGCAAGGCGGCATTCGGACTTACTCGTCCGCATGTCTTTTCATCGCAATGTCTTTTCATCGCAATAGATCGGTCACTCATCCTACTGGTAACCAATTCCATCCATGGCCTGAGTTTTCACATGGAAAGATGGTCATAAATCAGAAAGCTTCCATGCAGTGTTGGAAGGAAAGAGATTCGCCGCATGAAGTCTAGCTTTGATGAAGAAGCCCGACATGTCTGATTACCGACGGAGTCCAAAAATGCATCCACGTCCGTCCAATATACGTCTCGCCCAACGGTGCGTACCGATGAGTTCTCATTCTTGCCAGAGTCAGGTTTGTAGTCTGGGTAGAAGTATCCGCACGTCGACACCTTCCAGTTGTTCGGTCCCAGACCCAATCCCTGGTTCACGCTATTGACCTGGAGTTGTGTCTGCAAGATCTCCATCATTGCGGCCAACTGTTTTTGGGTGGTCATGGGCGCGGGGCCCGCCTGATGCCATTGCTGGCCGTCTAGTGTCTAATGGAACTGAATCTCTCTAGAGGAGTTCAGCTTTGTCTTGTGCGTCTCTGATGAACGAGTTAACAGTAGTGTTCAGGTTCGGCTTGGGCAGGTGCACCGCCAGACTACTGTCGATCTTGAGATATGCTTGGTTCAGTTGCATCAGTGGGTCATTCATTCCAGCAGCGTTGCAGAGTCGGATAGGTAGTTTCCTTGTCCTTGGAACTGAACCGACGCCTAGCATGATCTCGGGGTTGGCTTCAACTCCCCACGTTAGCTACCTGCCATATTCAACCCCAGCGCATGGCGGCCCGTTGATCGCCTCCGCATTATCCGGCTGATGCCAAGTTAGGCTTATCTGGCTGCATGGCTTAGTCTTGCTGTCCACCTTGAACCCATCTTACCCCACTGACTGAGATCAAAATCGTGTTCAGGATCCAAAGGATCGCTCCTGAATGTTAAACTTACGTACAACAAGGCCGTTTGGGAAGAGCCCAGCAGGGCACGTTCGGCGTGGCTTGCAATAGTCGACAGCTAGTCCTGCGGTCTTTTGAATCTCGCCATAATCGGTGACCGCGGATCCATCCGCCGAACCGGGCCGTCACTCGACCTTCCGCTTCGGGCATGCATTTCAACGGTCGACGGGGCGGCCCCACGTTCTGGGCTTCCCGCCACATTCTGGCGATCAAACGTGGGGAGGAAACAGCAAGAGTGCAACGAATGAGCAGAGTCGACTTACGAGTCCTCGCGCCGAGGCGGGTGGTCACGTTTCCATAAGCAAGCCGTTGGCATACCTCCTCGCCAGCATGAAACTCCAGCATGGGTGACTGGTCGTGGGCAGAATATTTGTGTCTTGCTCTATAAGAAGTCGTCACATATCCTTCTATCACCGGTACCTAGCCCCCCAAGCCGAGGTCCAACAAACGTCTGGCATGCTCCATATCCTTCAACATGAAGATTTGGCTCTCCCCTCTTGTTCTGGGTGTCGCCGTAGCGACAGCCATACCTTCCGACCTCCCGCTGAAGCTCGAAACTCGGGCCGAGATTAAATCTCGTGCTGCCAATGTCCATCTGCGGCTTGAACGGGCAGTCGACGGCCCTATTGACTTTACCTATGGCAGCTGCTCATCCAGCACACTGCAAGATAGCCACCACACCGTTGCCAAGGTTGAAGCCCAACACGGCCAGCGCCTCGTGTGGATGATTCCGGAGAAGGCCGAATCGAATGGTTGTCTGTCAGCTTGGGACGCAAAGGGGGCGCTCGTCGGCCGCAGCGAGCCGCAGGTACTGCACCATCAGTGGAAGCGAAGGATTCAGAAGCGAGGCCCAGGTCAGTCCATCCACGAGACACTCCTTCGACAACCGCATGCTCATGGATTCTGCAGAGAGCATCAAAATGAATGGAACCGGATTCGACCACGTCGGCGCATGGTTCGAGGGTGTCAAATATCTGGAGCAGCAGCAGCCTGGACCGGTTGATGTCGAAAAGGCCAAAGCCAAGGAGATTGCCATTGTCGGCGCTGGCATGTCCGGCCTCATGACCTGGCTGGTTCTCTCCCAAGCCGGACTGACCAACCTCACCATCATCGAGGGTGGCAAGCGGCTTGGGGGCCGCGTCCGCACAGAGTATCTGTCGGGTGGTCCGTTTGACTATTCCTATCAGGAGATGGGTCCGATGCGCATTCCGGATACATACACGGATCCTTCATCAAACAAGACGTTCAACATTAGCGACCAGCAGATTGTCTACCAGCTTGCTGAAGAGTTGAACAAACTCAACGGCCATGATGCTAGCTTGTCGGTCAACTTTATCAAATGGATCCAAAGCGATCGAAACGGCTTGAACTACAGGAACAGCGTCAGAATGCCCAGCGGGCTGCCTCCGACTATCAACGAGATTGGTCTCAACTCCTCGCTCGGCCCTGTACCGGTTGAACTGTCGGCTTCGGCCAAAGGACTTCAGGCTGACCTCGCAGAATACCTACCGGGACCTGAGTTTAACGACCTCATTGCGAAGAATATTTTCAGAGCGCACTCCGAGTGGATCAAGAATGGACTCAAAGGCTTGGGCGGCGATGTTTGGTCCGAGTTCGCCTTCATGGTCAACCACCTCGGCCCCTCCCTTGCTGACGCCAGCGCCATCGGCCGCACGTCTTACGAGTCGTTCTGGGCATCCATTTACAACGGCTTCTACTTCGTCTACGGCACATGGAAGACTGTCGACGGTGGTCTCAGCCGGCTGCCTGCGGCATTCCGCCCACTGGTAGAAGACGTCACGGTCATGGACCGCCGCATCGAGCGTGTCAGCTACGAACCGACCTCGGACCGCGTCACACTGCAGTGGCGTGACAACCAAACTTCGCAAGCCCTCCAGAGCGCCAGCTACGACTACGCCGTCATTTCGGCCCCCTTCACCGTCGTCCGCAGCTGGCGACTGCCGCCCCTCAACCCCGTGCTGTCGTCGGCGATCAACAGCATGAAGTACTACGGCGCATGCAAAGTGGCGCTCGAGTTCAGCGAGCGGTTCTGGGAGCACTACGCCAACCCCATCGTCGGCAGCTGCAGCACGTCGACGGACATACCTACCGTGGGGAACGTCTGCTACCCCAGCTACAACGTCAACGGCACGGGCCCGGCATCGCTGCTCGCGAGCTACGTGTCCGGCGACGTCGGCGCCTCGTGGCTCGGACGCAGCGAGGCCGAGCACGTGCAGTACGTCCTCGACGCCACGGTCGAGATACACGGCGAGGCGGTCCGCGCGCTGTACACGGGCAACTACAACCGCCGGTGCTGGCAGCTCGACCCCCTGGCCGTGGGCGCCTGGGGGAGCCCGACGGTCGGACAGCACCAGCTGTGGATACCCGAGTACCACAAGACGCACAGCAACTTGGTATTCGTGGGCGAGCACACGTCCATCACGCACGCTTGGGTGTCTTCGGCTCTCGAGTCGGGGATCCGGGGCGGTGTGCAGCTGCTGCTTGAGCTGGGGCTCGTGGACGAGGCCCGAGCGACGGTCGACAAGTGGATGGCGCGATGGATCGATGTTGTGAGTACATGGCCCCCTCTCGCCCCTAAGATCTTTGATGTGCTAAGACTAACCGTGCTGTAGTGAAAGCGTTTGAAATTCTTGGGAGGGGCAGCGGAGAAACGTTGCGGATGTGAGGGAAGAAGCAGCAAGTGTGCAGCCGCTGCAGATTGCAGAAACCAATCGGAACAGTTGCAGCCACAACTACTGTGATAACCCTTATGACACGAGCTTTCCATGTGCGGTGGCCCCATGCTGCAATGCGGACCGGCAGCTGTCCCGGCGCGTGTCTCGGTTGTGGGATGACGATCACCCCACGAGGTGCCGAAGGGTGGGGTTTCTCGGTGCCGCATGGTTGCATGATCGTCATCCGGGAGTTGACGCCATGGGCTTGGGGGTGAGAAGGGTCAAATGATAGGCCAGACGCTTGGTTGTGAATGGATGATATGTCGGCATGCCTCTGGTCGCTCGGTTCAGGGCCCGGCAGCCAGGATAACCGAGCATGCCTACTTATGATGGATGTTTGTGCACAAGAGGTCTTGGGAGAAGGTAGTGGCTTGTGACGAGGTTGTCAGCTCATAGCCCGCTTGTCAAAGAGAATCGCACTCCGACAAAGTGAAAATAAATGGGAATAGGCTGAACCGAAATATGAAGAACGTGGCTTGGTAGGCTTGCCGGTAGGAGGAGTTGATCTCAAGTATTGTGAGCAAGAAGAAAGAAGCAGCTCTTGACATCGATCTCGATTGTCGTCAATACTGACCAACCATTGCCAGCAAGGATGGCAGCAAGGAATAAGGATGTTCAATAACGGGTCAAATCCCGATGGCCGAGTGGGCGAAACAGGAACATCCGAGTCTATCCAGCAACACGATATCGTCTCCACACACTTCTATGGAAGGCCCTCATTGCACGGAGGAGATCGGCTTGCCGGCAGCCCTGATTTTCGTCAGCTGGTAGACATGAAGATGCATCGTGGTTTCCGGATAGTCCGCGTCTAGAGGCGGAACTCGGGAGAGTCCGCGTCCGAGAATATCTGACAAGTTGTAAATGTTTCAAGGTACGTCGCTCTAGGCTAGGGTCAGGGGGTGAACATTTCCACGCAAGAACCACAGTTCTGGGCACTGCAGGAAACGAGTTGCTGCTGACTGGTTCAGCGCACGACTTGGCACTTGACCATGTTTTGTACGCTTGCCCTGCTTTTTGGCGGCACACCAAAAGGCGGAAATGGTATCGGGATACTGACAGGCGAGACTGACAAGCAATTTCACGGACTGATGAACGCGTGGGGTTGCTCACGGTGGCCAACGGGCGAGGGCCTAGATGGTCTCAAGATGTCAGATATCACAACTGAGATTCCTTCATATGGCGTGCAGATATCGGTGATTGTGAGCAGAACATCAACGGAGTTCAGCGGTGGCCGATTGAATCTTCAGCAACACCGATTCTTCAAGAACAACAAGGGTACCTGCGGCTTCCGGCCCACAACGGCGCGGGCTGCCCCGGTCACAAGAGCCACCGTGGGCTGATGTCTGAGGTGGAGATCGGACCGTGATGACGAACAGACGAGGAGGCGTACTTCGGTCCACTGTCAGGGCAGAAAAGCAGAAAGGTGGCGAAGCCAAGAACAGACCATTTCGTGGTGGACGTTGGGGTGGTTGAGGCGCCAGCACGCGAGAAGCAGCCTTTCGGCCTGTGGCTCGTGGCTCGTGTGGCTTGTGAAGCAGAAGCCACAAACAGTGCGCGAGACGGAGCGTCCGAGGTGTTGTACCTGGTACCTTGATCAAGGGACCAATGTGTCCTACTACCGGGCACTTGAGCCCTTATTGCCGGGCACTTGAGCCCTTATTGCCGGGCACTTGACAGCCCTATGTAAGTACCTTGGCTCAAGCTCACAGTGAGCACCTGGTCAAGACTCAAGCGCACCAGAAACACGTGCTCAGCCTTCTCTCTTGTCTCACCCCAGAGCACGCGAGCCAATCGCTTATGTCCAATGACGACAGTGATTATTCAACACGAAAATCTCCCCCGCGATATGCTTTGTGCCACGCTTTAGATGGCACCAAGGTAAGGTTTTGCTACATTGATCGAGATGCACCAGGTGGCCATGTCACTATTCAAAGTTCTAGCTCGAGAACAGAAGATTCTGTCATCGCTATGCCGCCCACATCAAGGCTGCCAAGTGTGGTTCTGAGCACCGACCGACCCCGATGTCATTTCGCGGCTCCTTGGCAAAATTGTGCGCCCATCATACGATGTTCCATTTTGCTTTAGGTCCAGCCCTGCGCCAGAGTGGCGTGGTTTTTTCTTTCCTTTGCTTCCAAAAAGAGGGATCGACAAGCGAAGCACGCGCCTCGAAACGAACCCTCCCTTTCCCACGGCTGCCCGTGGCCGTAGCCGTAACCCCACGCCTGGACCTCCCTCATTATCATCGGCCTTCTCGGCGTCTGATGACCCGTCCCATACTCGCATTCAAAGGGCAACTCGACGTGGTCATCGGCTTCGGTAATCTCAATGTCCGATTCCTACTGACCAAGGACGCGTGGATTCATGCAAGGGAGAGAGAATGACGACGTTTCAACCTTGGAAGCCTATCACCATCCGGCTTCATCGGCTCTCATGAACATGTGGACGAAACATCTCAAAGTCAAACTTTGCTGGCCAAAAAGCGACCTTACACGACCTACTAGTTTGGTTTCAAGGGTCTCGGTCTGTCCCGCCTTGACTTGACACCCCACTCCGCAAACAGTTACCCTGAGCTTTCCCCCTGATCCCCTTCGGGCCCCCCTCGGCCCCCTTGCCCCCCTCGTGCCGCCCCCACCCCCCCCACCAGAAAAGCGACGGGAGGGGCAGGATATCGCGTTAACATGTCACTTGTGACAGGGAATGCTTCTGTCCAGGGGGGAGGAGGGGGTGCTCTGGGCGCTTCGCTCTGTTCCACTCGACCACGCCACGTCTGTCATTGGCTGGCCGCTTGTTTTGCCTGTCAGATCGTGGCCGTTGCAAGGGACGTGGTGCGGGTCAAGTCGTGTCTACAATAAACACCAGTATATACGACAGAAGCCAACATCATACGATCTCGTCAACGCCGTCAATGGGTAGTGCCTATAGGCGGCGGTGAGACAACCAGGCCACGAGTAAGCCACGAGGATGGTCCGGGATCAGAGCCCCATGGAAGAGCGGGAACGAGGAGAACTAGATGATGGAAAGAAAAAAACTCCTTCCCTTGGTCGTTGCGTGGAGAAAGTTCTCCGCCCATATGGCGTGGGAAGGGTGCTATATCTAAGTCATGCCCTGCCCTTCCCCCGGGCCATCTGAGATGGGCAAGGTGCAGAGTATCATTATCGAAGCATCAACGAACGATCCAGGAATCTTTTGAGACCTCCTATCCATCCACGGGATCTGAATTATCGACTGCTATCAACCCCTTGCACGAGCGATCACCATCATATTGTATTCCTTGGCGCTGAATATTCCGACGGTCCAGGAAAGAGACCCTGATCACCAAGACTTGCCCCTGCCCTTGACGTGATTTGTCCGTCATGGCTCTCACGTACAAGCAGTCGGTTCTCGTGCGGGGCTCGATCCCAGCCCTGCGCGAGCACGGCGAGACCATCACAAGCCTCTTCTACGCCAACATGTTGCGCGCCCATCCGGAGCTGCATGACATGTTCAATACAGCCAACCAGGCCAACGGCCGGCAACCGCGTGCCCTGACGTCCGTCATCCTGGCCTTTGCCGCCAACCTCAACCACACAGCCGAGCTCATCCCCCGTCTCGAACGCATGTGCAACAAGCACTGCTCCCTCAATATCCGGCCCGAACACTACGACATTGTCGGCAAGTACCTGCTCGAAGCCTTTGGACAGATCCTCGGCCCGACGTGGACGCCAGAGGTGCAGCAGGCGTGGCACAAGGCATACTCGTTGCTTGCCAAGATGCTCATCGGACGCGAGGCGCAGCTGTACCGGGATTTCGAGCTCGGCGCGGGCTGGGGCCCGACGGCGTTCCGCAAGTTCCGCATCGAGCGCAAGGTCGCCGAGACGGACGACATTTACTCGTTCTACCTCGTCCCCGTCGACGGGCGGCGGCTGCCGGCGTTTCTGCCGGGCCAGTACGTCACGGTGCGCGTGGCCGTGCCGGCGATCCACCACCTGCAGATGCGGCAGTACTCGCTCTCCGAGGCGCCGCGGCCGGACCACTACCGGGTGACGATCAAGCGCGACACGGGCACGCAGGTGGGCAAGGGCGCCGAGGCGCTGCGTCTGCACCCGGGGGCCGTGTCGAACCTGCTCATCGACGACAAGCAGGCGGGCGACACGGTGGAGCTGTCGCACCCGGCGGGCGACTTCCACCTCGACACGGACGCGTCGTCGACGCTGCCGCTCGTGCTCATCTCGGCCGGCGTCGGCGCGGCGCCGCTGGCTGCCATCCTCAACACGGTCGTCGAGCGCCAGGCCGTCCGCCCCATCAGCTGGGTGCACTGCTCGGCGCGCGGCGCCGGGCCCTTTGAGGCCCACGTGCGCCGCCTCGCCGCGTCGCGCGACCGCTTCGCCACCCGCTTCTTCCGCAGCAAGGTCGCCGACGCCGACGCGTGCCAGACGCGCACCCCCGGCGACGAGTACGGCGTGCGCCTCGACCTCGCCGTCATGGACCGCGGGCAGCTGCACCTCGAGCACGGCGGCGCCGAGTACTACATCTGCGGGTCCGAGGCCTTCATGGCCGAGACGTCGGCCTACCTCCTCGCGCAGGGCGTCGATGAGACGAGGGTGCACTATGAGTGGTTCACGACGGGCGACCCGGAGTTCAAGCACTAGCGGTCTTTTGGCTTGTGGGCCTTTGCTTTGTCGAGGGTTTTCCTGGGCGAAGAAAGAGGAAGGGAAAGGGCATGGGCTTGAGCGCGGCGTATAAAAGGGATCACGTTATGCTGGGATATCCGGGTTTTGGCAGCTGTGTCTCGGGAATAGACGGCGGCTTCTTGGTGGATTAGGCGAATTGACCACCTACTCAATCAGCAGTCACCTGTTCATATGATACATCCTTGTGTTCATGCAATGCAGCCGTTATGTTCCTGGTTACGCTATTCGACGTGAAGATTTGCGTCTTCTTTTCTCAACCTGAATAATGAATTACCTGTGTAAAATGCCCCTGCCTTTGTCTTGTCTTCCTGTCCAGCCTTGAATTGTCCCTCTGAGCTTCAGACGACAACCCTTGTCCTGACGATATGGCTTCTGATTTAGCATATATGGGGTTCCTCCACAGCGAAATCTAAGCTGAACAGGTGTCAAGTACGATATTATTATCACGAAAGAACATTGGCATGCGCCTGCCGGCTCAATCTGAGGAACGTAAATGATGAGCCTAAAGTATTTGATCGAGATGCGAATACCCATATGATCTACGACACGAGCCGAGATGTCTTTATGTTCCTCGAGTCGTTTAGGTAGCCTTTTCTGAACCAAAGACTGTCTGTTACGCTCTCCAGCATCTGTATCTGAAGGGACTATTTCAAGTGCCAAAGTGGCACGACGTACCGATCGTAAAGTTGTAGCATCACGGCTGGTCCTGTCATAGTAGACTCGTCTTGAATGTTCAGGGCCTACGACCACCGTGCATTCGGCGTAACCAGATGCGCCAAAATACATCTGAGAGGTCATCTGCCATGTGACTGTCTCTTCGATGACCGGTTTGCTCTCCTTAGAACACGGTGGGTTGTAAGTTGATCTGATGGAACTTATTTTTCCAAAGGAAAAGCAAAATCTTTCTGAAGGTCTCTGTCACTTGACAACAGCTGAGTACTCTATGTATACCTGCTGGCGGTACTCCTCGCTATGCCTGGTCGACGGCGTCCAGCATGCCGACAACGCTGTCGCCACTTTGCAACCATCAAGACAGAACATGAATGATGTGATGGCTCGACCGAGGAGGGTATATTGACAGTTGGCAGTGTCAGTTCTTGCGGGTGATCGGTATCACACAGCAGCAGAGTACCCAGGTACCTTCAGCAGGTTCATGTTCTGTACCTCAGTTCAGTAACAGTGGTCCAATCCGAAGAATGCGACTGCCATGCTGACGATTCCTTCGCACTTGCCCCTCGTGTCATGTCGACTGGCCGGCAATCGGTGCTTTCCCAGTCGAGGTGGGATGTTGGGCCCCGCAGATAAGGCGGGGAAATCGCAGGGCCCAGTCGTGCCTTCTTGTTATCATGCAGTTGTCTCACCTGCTGTCCCGAGGTGAGGGGCTCATGTACTTCCTAAGGTACCAGGTAAGGCACCAGACGAACTATCTCGACTGCTGTTTGTCGACCGAACATCTACTGTTTGTCGACCGAACATCAAGTCCATCTGCTTCGCCAAGGCTATCAGACGCAATCACGGGTCGAATCAACGTACAGTCATTTGGCACACAACACCCTCGCCATGACCTCCGCCGTGACGCCGCTGGTCTTTCACGGCCCCATCATCCACTCTCGTAACCTCGAAGAGCTGGAGATACTCGAGAATGCAACCCTCGTCATTGATGCCAGCGGAACCATCACGGCCCTCAAGAAGAGCGAGGCCGATGACACGCCGACACCTGCCGTGCCCGAGGGCGCCCGAGTCCACCACCTGGGACCCGGTGAGTTCCTGATCCCCGGCTTCATCGACACGCACAACCACGCACCGCAGTGGCCCATGCGCGGCATCGGCCAAGGGCTGCACATCCTCGACTGGCTCGACCAGGTGACGTTTCCCTTCGAGGCGCGGTTCGCCGATGCCGCCTACGCGCGCGCCACCTACGAGGATACCGTCGCCGACTTTCTGCGCCAGGGCATCACGACGGCCTCCTACTACAGCTCGCGCCACGCCGAAGGGACGCGCATCCTCGCCGACATTTGCGTCGAAAAGGGCCAGCGCGCACTCGTCGGCAAGTGCAACATGGACCGCAACGCCCCAGCCTACCTCGCCGAGCCGAGCGCCGCCGTGTCGCTGCAGGAGACGCGCGACTGCATCGCCCACATCCGCGCCCTGCCCGGCTGCGGCGACCCCGAGCACGCCCTCGTCAGGCCCGTGCTGACGCCGCGCTTCGCCATCTGCTGCACGGCCGAGCTGCTGACGGGCCTCGGCGACATGATGCGCGCCGACGCGTCGCTCGCCATGCAGACGCACTTTAACGAGGCCCAGCAGGAGGTCGACGCCACGCGCGCCCTGTTCCCGGACCTCGCGGCACGCAGCGAGGCAGACCTCTACGAGCACTTCGGGCTGCTGGGCCCGCGGTCGATCCTCGCGCACTGCACCGTCATGACCGACTACGACAAGGAGAGGCTGCTGGCGCTCGGGTGCGGCGTCGCCCACTGCCCGATCGCCAACATGACGGTCGGCGGCGGGTTCATGGTGGCGCCCGTGCGGGACCTGCTGCGGCGCGGCGTCAAGGTCGGCCTCGGCACCGACAGCGGCGGCGGCTGGGCGTCGCAGATGCTCGCCGTCATGCGCCAGGCCGTCATTGCGTCCAACGCGCGCGAGGTCATGGACGGGGCCGCCGCCGCCAAGGCCCTCACGCTCGACGAGGTCTTCTACCTGGCGACGCTCGGCGGCGCGCGCGTGCTCTGCCTCGAGCACCACGTCGGCAGCTTCGCCGTGGGCAAGCAGTTTGACGCGTCGTGGGTGGCGACGACGAGCGGCCTGCGGTCGGCCATGACGCCGCGGGAGGACGACGACGGGCTCCGGAGGATCTTTGAAAAGTTTGTCATGACGGGCGACGACCGGAACATGGCGCACGTCTATGTCCGAGGACGGAGGGTCGCGGGCGCGCGGCATGGAGAGGCTTCATGACGAACCTAGCCCGAGCCTCAGATGCTCAGACTATGGCCTCTGCTCAGACTACAGCCTCTGCTCAGACTATAGCCTCTGCTCAGACATCGTGGCCAGGACTGTGGGCCCAAGATAAGAAATTGTCAACCCATTTCGGCTGAGTTGCTCGAGGCGCAACGTGATACTGCCGCCGTGGTAAAATGACAAGCGCATGGCCCCCACTACATGCTACGTACATGTACTGATCTTTCTCCCGCGCCGGGCGACACTCCGCCATGAGACCCGCGTCTCCCGACCACGGCCAACGCCCATTGGCGCGGGTAAAGAAACCGGCTAAAGAGAGTAAAAGAGAGAATAGGCGGGCCATTAGCGGCGCGCAGAAGGTCGTCCCGGCGCTATGGCGCCCTCAGGGAGCGGAACCTCCAGTGGGTCCTTGGGGGTTCAGGCTTGTCGGGTTCACCACAGGGGCAGCTGGGCAGCTCCAGCGCCAGCGCGATGCGGGCAACGGGAACAGGAAACGACTGTATCCCACCGACGTCAGGGCCCCCGCATAGCATTCTCCGCCGTCACGAGGGACGCGCTTTGGTTGTAGGGAGCCGTATATCGGTGAGGAAGTTTTGGGGAGGTCTCGCCTTTTTTTCTTCTGTCTCCTCTTCTACCGGCGCTTCCTCGAGTGGAGAGGCTCTGGTTCGAGGGCTGGAAGGGTCCATGTTGAGAAGGGGCAGGTTCAAAGCAGGCGCATGTGGTCGAGACGAGGAAGGATGAGGGGCACCTCGTTCTTGCCAGTGACCTAGCTACCCCTCCATCCCCTCATCGTGACCTCAACCTTTTTTCATCCCCTCCCTCTTGTCTTCTTTTTGCCTCTCTCTCTCTTCCTCGTGTTTCTTCCAATCAATTTACTTTGTATCTGATACCCAAATTCATCTCCAGCTCGTCACGGCTCCAAACAACTGAACCAATTCCTCACCTCTCCCGAAATCACAACCCCCCCCCACCCCCGGCCATGTCTTCCAACCTCTCCTTCGTCCTCAACAAGGTCCACGACGTCTCCTTTGAGGAGCGCGAGGTGCCCAAGATCACGTCGGAACACGACGTCCTCGTCGCCGTCAACTACACGGGCATCTGTGGCTCCGACGTCCACTACTACGACCACGGTGCCATTGGCCACTTTGTCGTCAAAGACCCCATGGTGCTCGGCCACGAGTCTGCCGGTACCATTGTCGAGGTTGGCTCGGCCGTCAAGACGCTCGTCAAGGGCGACCGCGTGGCCCTCGAGCCCGGCTACCCGTGCCGCCGCTGCGCCGACTGCCTCGCCGGCAACTACAACCTCTGCCACGAGATGGTCTTCGCCGCGACGCCCCCCTACCACGGCACTCTGACCGGCTTCTGGGCCGCTCCCGCCGACTTTTGCTACAAGCTGCCCGAGAACGTGTCCCTGCAGGAGGGGGCCCTCATCGAGCCCCTCGCCGTCGCCGTCCACATCACACGCCAGGCCGCCGTCACGCCCGGCGCCTCCGTCGTCGTCATGGGCGCCGGCCCTGTCGGCCTCCTCTGCGCCGCCGTCTCGCGCGCCTTTGGCGCCACCAAGGTCGTCTCGGTCGACATTGTCCAGTCCAAGCTCGACATGGCCCGCGACCTCGCCAGCACCCACACCTACCTCTCGCAGCGCCTGCCGGCCGAGGAGAACGCCGCGGCCCTCAAGGCCCAGTGCGGCCTCGGCAAGGGCGCCGACGTTGTCATTGACGCCAGCGGCGCCGAGCCTAGCATCCAGACGAGCCTGCACACGGTGCGCATGGGCGGCACCTACGTCCAGGGCGGCATGGGCAAGGCCGACATCAACTTCCCCATCATGGCCCTGTGCCTCAAGGAGGTCACCGCCAAGGGCAGCTTCCGCTACGGGCCCGGCGACTACAAGCTCGCCATCGACCTCGTCGCCAACGGCAGCGTCAACGTCAAGAAGCTCATCTCCGAGGTCGTGTCCTTCCAGGAGGCCGAGGACGCCTTCAAGAAGGTCAAGCAGGGCCAGGTCATCAAGGTCCTCATCAAGGGCCCCAACGAGCAGTGAGCGGAAGGAACGTGATCGGGAGCGAGGTGCCGGGTCGGACGGACAGCGTCGGCAGCGGCGAGGTGTTGCATTCTGGATGGTCTGCGTGGCATGGTATATGACGACTGAGCATGATGGTTGGGCATGATGACTGGACTTGTTTACAATAGCGATATCCCTGAAAAGTACATTTCATCCACGTTGCTACGACACGTGCCTTGTTGTTTCATGTTCGTGACCTCACGCATCTCCCCGTCATCATGATTCATATCGTCTATTCGTACGGAGCATCATCTAGGTCTCACACCCCCCTCACCGGGCACAGCCTCAGTCCAGCATACCGAGGTACCGCGTCTCAATTTTCGTGTCGGCCTTGGCCCCCGTCACGGGAATGACGACCACTTCACCGGGGACAATATCGACGAGGTTGTCGCCAAAGACGACGTCATCGTCTGGGCACTCGAGCGCGAGGCCCTTGATCGGCACCTCGGCGCTGACCTCGACGACCGTGTTGTCCCTCGCCAGCGTGGCCACGAGCTGCTTGGGCTTCTGCAGGTGCAGATACTTGAGGGGCTCGGGCCAGTTGACGTACCGCGCCAGCTGCTTGCCGTCCCTGTCGACGAGGTACGCCGCCACGACGATGCGGCCCTCCTCCCCCTTGTGCCGCACGGGCACCTCAAAGTCGGTAATCTCGGTCGACGCGTTCTTTGGCAGCACGAGGCCCTCCTTGGCCTTCTCGTTGTACGTCTCCTCGGCCGTCTCGACGTGCCATCCCTTGACTATGACGTCGACGGTCAGGTCCTCGAGCTGCAGGTTCGAGCCCCAGACCTCAATCTTGGTCTTTGTGTCAATGTTGACCCGCGTGTACTTGTCCTTGGGGTGCTTGTGCTCGCGACGCGTAATGCCGATCGACAGCGGCGCCATCTCTCGCTTGACTGTGTAGTAGGCATGCTTCGGCCGCAGGTAATAGTCGCAGATGGCCCACGATGTGACGGGCCAGCAGTCGTTGATCTGCCACACGAGGGCGCCGCCGCAGTACTCGCGGCCCGGTCCTCGCCACTCTCGCTTCCACAGCCGGTAGGCCGACGCGAGACACTCGGCCTGCATCAGCTGCGTGCAGTACACAAAGTGCTCGAGAGGATCGGGCGCGTAGCGGAAGTTCTCCACGAGGTAGAGGGCGATGCGGCGCTCGTGGCCGTCGGCCTTGTTGTGGAAGTCGATCGTGGACGACTGCGGGTAGCGGTCAGGGTCGTCGCGACCCTTGGGCAGGAAAGCATCGATCGTCTTGACCGAAGGGAAGGCCTCCATGCCGAATTCGGAAACGAAGCGGCCGACGAGCTTGTCAAAGTTTTGATACTTCTCCTGCGTGCCGTGCCAGACGTTCCACTGGTGCAGGTCACCCACGGTGGGGTCGCGCGTGTCGGCGCCGCTCCAGGGGCTGCCAAAGTGGTAGAACGTGTCGGGGATGAGACTGGCGCAGACGTCGGCAAGAACCTTTTCGTAGATGTACCGGGCGGGGAAGTCCGTCTTGAGCCAGCTACCGGGGTCCTTGTCGTTAATGTCATATGTCAGGTTCTCCGACTCGGCGAACTGGTAGTCTTCGTTGTTGCCCGCCCAGATGACGATCGAAGGGTGGTGCCGCAGCAACTTGACGTTCTCCTCAGCCTCACGCTTGATCGAGTCGAGCAGCGCGGGCCAGGCAGGGTAGTTTCCACAGCCAAACATAAAGTCATGCCAGACGAGAATGCCGAGCTCGTCGCAAACATCGTAAAAGGCCTGCTCCTCGTAGATACCTCCGCCCCAGACACGCACCATGAACTGGTTGCCGTCTGCCAGGAGCTTCATCCAGGCACGGTAGCGCTCCTTGGAGATACGAGGAATGAAGTTGTCGGCAGGAATCCAGTTGCTGCCACCGCAGAAGACGGAAATGCCGTTGACGCGGAAGAAGAAGGACGTGCCAGGCTGCTCCTTCAGCGGGTCCTGCACCAGCTCGACCTTGCGAAGACCAATGTTCTTGGTGACGTGGTCAACCTCGTCTTGGCCGTCGACAAGCGTCGCCTTGACGGTGTAGAGGGGCTGCTTGCCGTAGCGGACGGGGTACCACAAGGCCGGGTCGTTGATCTCAAAGGTGGCCTTGGCATCAGCGGTCTCAGAGGCGTCGACGAGCTGAGAGGCCACCGAGTTGCCGTCCAGAGACACATCGAAGTGAATCTTGGAGGCCTTGCCCTCGGTCTTTGCATGAACCACGAGCGTAGCCGACTTGTACGAGTCGTCAATAGTCTGGTCAAAATGAAGGTCGACGATGCGCGAATCGTAGATCTCCAGGTTGATGGGCCTCCAGGGGCCGCAGGTCAGGAGCGTCGGGCCCCAGTCCCAGCCCCAGTGGTACTGGGCCTTGCGAACGGCGAGCCTCGAGTTGTCACCGTTCCAGCACCCCCACTTGTGATCCGGGTGCTCCTCGACGCGCTTCCAGCCGCGCAGGTACGCGCTGTCAAAGTGGATCTGGAGCTCATTGTTGCCCTCGGCGTTGAGCTTGTCAGTGACGTCGACGCGCTCAGGGATGAACATGTTGTCCGTTTCGAGAATGGTAGAGCCGTTCAGCTTGACGGTGGCAAAGGTGTCGAGGCCATCAAAGGCGAGGACGGCCTTTTGGCCGGCGCTCAGCTTGGGGGACGCGAAACTTGTGCGGTAGAGCCATTGGGCCTCGCCGATCCATTGGACATCAAGCTCATTCTTGCCAATGAAGGGGTCGGGGATGATCTTGTGGGCGATGAGGTCGAGGTGAACATTGGTGGGGAATTGGCTGACGGAAAGGAACTCGGAGTCGTCTTTGTCGGCCTGGCGGAACTGCCAATCCTTATCGACGGGGATGACGTTGCGTGCCATGTTGCGTGGCAGCAAGATGAGCATGACAGGTAGAGGGCGGTCAAGGACACTTGAGGTCGAGTTCAAGGTCGAGTTCAAGGTCGAGTTCAAGGTCGAGGTTATCGTGCTCTAAAGGCCGGCGAGCTGTAGCTAGGCAGTCACAAGAATGGAAGCTACCCCAAGTGATGTTCCTGGCTAAAATGGCTGAGAGGGGAAGCAGGGGGAAGCAGCAGTGAGGGGTCGACGGGCAGCTCCTGCGTGATGACGGAAAGAGGGGCAGAGGGGAGGGGGACAAGGTGCCCGCGAGAGGAAATATACAAGGGAGGAAGAGCGGCAGGAAACGCTGAATTGGTTCGTCCAACTGGCCATCAATCAACCATTGCTCAGCGACAGAAGGAGACGCAATATATATCGACGCGCCCCGAAATACCCACCCAGACAACAGTGCGCGCCTCTGCCGAACGAGCTATTCCGTCTGTTCGACGGGACGACATCCGCCGAGATGCATCTCGAAAGATGTCGCTCCAAAAGGCCACCAGCTCCACTGGGACGCAGCGTGTCGGGGTCCAGCTGCAGGGATCGCCCTCCACGTGCGAGGTGTTTGTTGATGCTTCAATTGGGGTTTGGGGGCTGGATCTGTCAGGCGGGCTGGTAGTCCAGGACTTTCGGATTCGGAAACGGACTGGAAATGCCACCCAGTTGGACACCCAGTTGGATGGCTCGTCCGGACCAGAAGTGCGCCTCACAGCAACAATCATGTCGGCCGACGACCGGCACTCGTTCCTATTCGCGACAGGAACAAGAGAGGCTTCTCAGTATCAGACTGGCTTCTGTCCTAGGGCCCTATGCAGAGTGTCCTGACAGCAACGCCCGCCTGCGCCAGTCCATCGGCTCGCACCCCGCAGCACCCCGCAGGGCCTTAACCGCGGAAGAGGGCCCTCCGTGTTGCCTCTTGTGGCATGGTTTCCTCCATCCGCCCTCGCTAGCCGCCGCCGACCCCACCGAGCACCGAGGCAGAGGGGGACATCGCGGCGGAGGCTGCGGATTTCGATCTTGATGCATGGTATGGACATGGACATGGACATGGCGTGGTCAGCTTGACTTGTCACCGTCGGACGTCTTGTGACTGACTGGCGCTCGCTGGGAAACAGTTTGACGTGACAACCGTCACAGCGAACGACTCATCAGTCCGCAAATGCGGAAGCTCCGCCACCGACCGCCAGCAAGGTGTGATGGTGGGTGATTTGTGGATATTCTGCCGTCAGGTCCAACTCGGACACACCAGCGTGCATCAACAACCCTTGAGCCAGGAAAATTTGTATGTATCATTAAGTGTACCTATTTGGAGACCAGTCAAGAGCCGCCCGGGCCGAATCTCCTTCATCCCCAAATTCCTATCCGAAACGCCATGCAATCTAAAAAAGCGAGCGTTGTGTGGTCTCTGGCTTCGAAAACTCTAGCTTCGAAAACCAGGAGATTGCCCGCGAACAAGGCAATGGGAACGCCAAACTCCCGCTCGCGCCACGAGGGCCAAGAAAAAAAAGAGAGAACAAGGAAAAGAAGAAAACCCAACGACCATCCCTCCATCACATTATACGGCACCCACAGCTTCGGTCAGCAGCAGCCCCCTCCTCGCCGTCTGTTGCTGCTGCTCAGCGTGAAGACCTCCTCCCACTCTCTCAAGCCGCCCCAGTTGGTGTTCCCGCCGCGTCCCCGGCCCTTACCCTTGCGTCGCCTCATGCCCGTCTCGTCGAGTGTCGCCGCCGTCATGGAGCTCTTGATACTCGCTCCGTCACTGGCCGCCGCATTCCAGCCCCCGCCGTATCCGTCTCCGTACTGGATGCCGCTCATCGGGTCGTCCGGGTCAATGTCGCCAAGCTCAATCTTTGTGAGAATCATCCTCGCGAGCCGCGCAAAGATCTCGTCGACAGCCTCGCCCGTGAACGCGCTCGTCTCCATGACCACCGGAACACCGACCGTGCTGGCCCACCTGCTGGCGTCGTCGCTGCTGACCTCCCTCCCGTCGGGTGCCACCGTCGCGTTCTGGCCCCGACCAATCGTGCCTCCGGCCCCTAGGCTTCCCATGCCCATGCCCATGGCTGTCGACGATGACCCCACACTGCTCGGCGTCGCGGGCATCAGCGGCTCTACGGGGTTGTCCGATGCGAGGTCGAGTTTGTTGCCGACCAGCAGCAGCGAAAGATTCGGGCTCGCAAGCGCACGCGCGTCGTTGAGGAACGGACTCAGTCCCCGAAAGGTCGCATGTGAGGTGATGTCGTAGACGAGGATCGCGCCGGCCGCGCCGCGGTAGTAAGACCGCGATACCGATCGAAACCGCTCTGTGCCCGCCGTGTCCCACAACTAAGTCCTAGTCAGCCTGCCGCATGTTCGCTTCCCACAAGTCATTCCCTTTGCGTGGTGGTTAGCATCGCGCATGACCGCACCTGAAGCTTGATGCGTTTTCGCCGCGCACCTGTCCCGACTTTGATGATTTTGCTCGCAAACTCGACGCCGATCGTCTGTGAGGAGAGGATACGCCATTCGTTCTTCACGAAGCGATGCAGGAGGCAGGATCTACAGGGTTGCGCGCCACCGTTAGCCAGCCGTTTCTCCGCATCGTCCTCGTCGCAGCGTCGGGTCGAGGAAGGGGGGGGGGGAATGGCGCCGCTGAAACAACTCACTTGCCCGACCCGCTCGGTCCCAGTAGGATAATCTTTGCAAGGTAATCGTACATGCTCCCCAGCTCCTGTGGTTCTCGCGCATCAGCATTTCCTGGCGTGCCTGTGTGTCTGTCGGGCCTTATCGCATCGCTCGCGCACCTGGTCGCCGGCCGTGCCGGTGCTCTCCTCGCTCGCGGCGCTTGATTTGCGCGGTCTCGTCATGGCGGAGTAAAGGGGTCGAGGTTGAAGCTCGGGTCGGACTATCAAACAAGGTACACTCAAATGCACAGAAAGATCGGTCGCAAGAGGAGGAGGGAGGAGGAGCGACGTTGAGGTCGCGTCGAGGTGTGCGTATTGTCGCGTGCGCGGGGTGACGTTACAAAGGGTTGGTGCGTTGGACGGTTATCGGCCGTTTTGGCTTCGCAGCAGCCTGAAGGGAACACGAGCTTGGTCACCGGGATGACGCCCGAGGAGGGTCGTTTAATTAATTTTGTGGCGCGACTCTGTACAGCGGGGCGAAACTGGTCTGTGGCTGGAGCTCAATTGGTGATAAGATAAGACCAGTATCACGACCTGGGCCGAGGCATCAACGTCAGGCCGAGTTGAGTCTGTAAGACTGAGTCCTCGTTCCTCAACAACGTTCACTTGTCTGGCTTCATTCTTGATATTTGCTCAATTTTTTACTCCTTATTTATTTTTCTCTTTCGCCGCAATAACAGGATGAAGATTGAAGGCCGCACATTCCTCATCTCCGGCGGGTAGGTCCTCTCTCTCACATGCCAGTAAACATCACTAACAACCCATCCAGCGCCTCCGGCCTGGGCGCCGCAACGGCGACCGAGATTGTCAACCACGGCGGCAACGCCGCCATTCTAGACATGAACGAGGAAGACGGCCAGCCTTTCGCCCAGTCCCTCGGCCCCTCGGCCCGCTTCTTCCCCTGCAACGTCCTCGAGACAGCGTCCGTCACGTCCGCCGTCGAGGGCGCCGCCGCCTGGGCCGCGTCCGCCAAGAAGCCCTTCGGCGGCGTCATCCCCGCCGCGGGCGTCGGCCTGCCGGCCGCCATGCTCGGCCGCGACAACGAGCCGCTGCCGCTCGACGACTTTGACTTTGTGCTCGCCGTCAACCTGCGCGGCACCATCGACCTCGTGCGCCAGACGCTGCCGCACCTCGCGGCCCAGCCGGCGTCGGACCCCGACGGCGAGCGCGGCGTCGTCGTCATGGTCGCGAGCGCCGCCGCCTTTGACGGCCAGCGCGGCCAGGTCGCCTACGCTGCGAGCAAGGGCGCCGTCGTCGCCATGACGCTGCCCATGACGCGCGACCTCGCGCGCCACGGCATCCGCGTCGCCACCATTGCGCCGAGCCTGTTCGAGTCGAGAATGACGAGCGTCCTGCCTGACAAGGTGCGCAAGAGCCTCGTCGGCGCCACGGAGTTTCCGAGACGCCCGGGCCAGCCTGAGGAGTTTGCAGCCCTCGTGAGGCATGTCGTGGAGAATGTCATGCTCAACGGGACCGTGTTGAGGCTGGACGGCGGCATGAGGATGCCGAGCAAGATGTAGGAGGCCCTTTCTATTGCTTGGGCAACAACTGCTGTTTCGGTACTCATAATCATATGGGTGGAATGTAAATTGGATACTATCTGAAGTACGAAAAGCAATCACAAGATTCATAATTTATCAGGTCGAAACTACTCTGTGGCCCATCTCCAATCATCACGTCATACTGCAGCATCATAACACTCACGCCAGTGGGTTCACGAGAACGTCCCCTTCGTGCCATCTCTTAACGTTGTCGACCTGCTGGCCGTACCAAGCGTTCAAGGTGCCTGGCTCGACGTATCCCATGTGAGGCGTCAGAAGGACTTGGCTGCGTCCGTCCTCACCCCACTTGGTTGTGCGCCATTCGCTATCAGTAGGCAGAGGCTCGATTCCATAGACGTCAAGTGCTGCCCCCTGAATAGCCCCCTTCTTCAGAATGGCCAAAAGGTCACCCTCGTGAATAAGGGGTCCGCGCGATGTGTTGATGAGGAACGCATTCTTCTTCATGCGATTCAGGTCATCCGCCTTGATCAGATCACGGGTACGATCCGACAAGACGAGATGCACGCTCAGGACGTCGGCTTCGCTGAAGAGCTCCTCGCGACTGACGACCTTGAATGTCTTTTCACCGCTGGGGTCCTCAACCGGGAACCCTGCCGACTTGGCCTTCTCGTCGGCAATCTCCTGTGTGAGATTCTGGCTCCAGGCGATGATCCTCATGCCGAAAGCCATGCGCAAGATTTTGGCAGTCGCTACCCCCAGACGACCGAGCCCCACCACAGCAAAGGTCTTGCCCGTGAGACCCGTGGCAAAGCCAGTCTGCCAGAGGCCAGCCTTGACGGCAGCATCATCGCGGGCGATGCCGCGGGCGAGCGCCAGCACGAGGGTGACGCAGTGTTCAGTGGTGCTGTTGGTGCCAACCTGCGTGCCGGTCGACTTGTCAGCCGTGCCGGCAACGGGAATCGACTGCTCTTTGAAGAAGCCGAGATCAAGCGAGTTGTTGCGCAGACCAGTGGTCAGGAGCAGCTTGAGATTGGGTAGACGAGCGATGAGGTCTCTGGGAAAGGGAGTACGCTCCCTCATGGTGCCTTGCAACCCATGTCAGTTCTAGACATGCAGTCGCTCTAGGAAACTACGCGAGATGCCAGATGCATATGCAAGTCGGTCTCAGGAGGGGGGGGGGGCTTGTTTACAGATAACATGGAAGGGCTCCAACCGGTGGACGAGTGCCTCCTTGACATGCTGAGGCGTATCCGGGTGGTTCCACGGCAACAAAGTGTCCCTGAACACCGTCACATCGAAGACAGCCTTGTCGAGAGCATCAAAATGAGACACTGACAGACCCTGATAGTCGTCGAGGACGGCAACCCTATGGGGCGTGCTTCCTTGAGCCATGGTGGGAAGGCAGGAGCAGGGGCGGTTGAGAAAACGGATGCGGCTGGGCCTTGGCGACACGATAGCGTGTAGCTGGCACAGAGTCTCCCGTGGCGCGTCGCGAGAGGAACGGGTGCGGAATGGACGTGCGATCAGGGGACAGGAATGCCACCCCGGATTCTTAGGCTACGATGGAAGAGGAAGCTCCCAAAACGAAAGGGAGCGGGTTAGGTGGGCGGCACAGGCGGGGCGGCCAGAATCGGTGATTGTCGGTCGGTCGGTCGGGGTCTGGGGTTTGTATCGGGATGTCTCGATCGTTTGAGACGGCGTGTTGCGGGCGGCGGAGGATGCTTTGATCTGAGGCACTGATATGCTGTTTCTCGGTAATTCGCTCCGCCATTGGCTTTGGAGGTGAACGGCAATACCAGAGGGGAAGAGGGGGCACCCGGGGCCGAGCTTGGTGGGTGGACCAAAATGGCTGCAACGGCTGATCATTGGCTGACTGGGGCAACCCCGCGGCTCGGTCACTGTCGGGTTTGGAGGCCCTGCCAGTCGCTCTTGCTGTTGCTGCTCCTGGTGGCGCTCCTTCTTCTGCTCAGGACCACACCAAGGGCAGTGGGAAGTAACGGCCCACCAGAAGGAGAAGACTGGGGGCAAGCCCAGCCCAAGATTAACTTGGCATGAACCGCCCACGGAAGGAAGCAGCGTCGGGGCACAGACTTCAGAGGAAGGGGCCAACAACGAAGGATAGCGCCACTTGGTCACAGAAACTCAAATGGAGGCAGGAGTGAGCATGAGGACCTGCTCTCATGGCTGCAACTGCCCTTGCACTGGCGAATCGCCGTCGTGTGTCGATCTTCTGGAAAGACGTAGGGAGCAAGAGCGCGTCAATGCCCTGGACAGATCGGCGGGAAGGAGTCAGGTGGGTGTTCAAGCAGCAATAGACGATTTTGGGAAGGAAACCAGGAAGGAAATCAGGCGGGCAGACTTCGTATCGAACACTGTGCGACCCAGAGCAGAGGGAAAGTATGGCGCTGACATGCATCCCCATCGCATCTCTACCGCGCCATGAACACCCAATCTCTTGCTGATCCGCCATCCCCATACCCCATTCCATTGATCAGGTCTGGCCCAACCATCAAGGCGCCATTACCAACTGCTATCTTCAATGCGTTCCCGCACTCTCAGTCTGTTGGCTGGCGATGGGTGGATGAACCGGTGGCTACCCTACATGGTGCTCCATCCACGTCGCTGGAGGCCCCTCTCCACCTTCAGGTGTGTCCATTTCCAGCGCGCGGTTGGCGACCGAGAGCCAAGAACTCCACGACTCGAGGAATCCAATGATAGTAGGTAGGCATCACTCGCACTTGACTCCATTACCCCCACCCTATTTACCTACTGTACAGTACAGCAGAGAGTGGTAGACCCTGCTTTGTTGCAAACAGGCAAGCCGTCACAATGACAACCCATCACCCTCTGCCCTCTGCCTTGTCAATGGACTCCCAAGGCGGGACAAGCCCGATCGCACCGTTCGCTGCATACAAGTTGTCCTGTCCTGCGTTGACGCCATGAGGCGGAAAAGCTTGTCAATGACTGGGCAAGCTACCATGTACTTACACAGACAAGACAGAATAATAGAGCTAACCTGCGTCAACGTTACAGCAGCCACCCCGGAGCGCCAGCGCCGTCTTTTCTCCGAGCGCCTTGCCCAACCTCCCTCGCAGCAGCGGGCGCCCAGCGCCTTGACTCGTTGACCCGTGCAGATTTCGAAGCCTCGGCATCGCCCAGCACAGCAACAGACGCGTACCAAGCACTCTAGCAGCGCCGAGCCAAGCCACCCGTCGGGACTCGGCACTGCTTGTACTGCCCAGCCTTTCGACTACAGGCCATGGAATTTTCACTGCATATTTGCCATCGATCCTACAGCGTTGCCTTGGATCCGAAGCAAGCAAGAAGCGAGCACACCTTCGTGGGAACTGATGATATCAACGATGTACGGACGAAACGGCACGCCCATGACAGCTTGAAGACCCTCGTCTTATCAGCGGAACCGCGACACTAGACTCTAGCCCCATGCACCCCACCCTGTCGGTGTTGGAAGGTGCTCCTAATGCTCCAACCCGACAGCGACGGCGCCCTGTGTTGCCCATGTAACCATCACCAACCCCCTTGTCGTTACAGGGGCACATCTTCCAGCGGCGTGGCCGTTTACGTACCAACAAACCTGCTCATACGACCGCAACAAAAGTTTAGGACCACTTCGCGCCCACCACATGCACCGTTGTAATTAACCCCCTCCCCGGACGCCACTAGGCAATCCTGCATATCGACAAGCCAATCGAGGCGCCCGTTTGCTTATCCTACCATGTCAGCCCTTCGACACACACCAAATCCTCCCGTCAATCATGAGACGAGGGAGAAGCACCTCGGTCGTTGAACCTGAGTTGGCCAGGGAAATAAGGGAAGGTACGGGGGGGAGACGGCTGTTTGTCGACTGCTGTGCAATCTTGTCTCACGCTGACTACGTGCTTATTCGCTGGTTAGGCCGACATTGACATCACACCACAGCAATTCAACCCAACTCAGGCCACACATGCACACCACAGATTTCGCCTCTCCAAGCCTGGAGCGCGGCGGTTGTACCTCGACCTCATATCACGCGACCTTGCCGCGTGTGCCTGCCGAAGATGCTGCTCACGCAATCGCAGGTTTGCTGGATCGTTTCTTCGGCCTTGGCCGGTGAGGTGTAGGCGAAGCGTTCGCTCTCGGTGTTGCGGCTGCATGCTGGACTGAGTCGAGCAACGAATGTGTCAAAGAATTGCCAATGAACAACGCACTAAAGTCTAGCCTGCCAGCTCTTGTTACCAATTTCGGTGTTACTCCTGCGTCGCGGTTCCATATACGAGACGATCCTATTCTCATGGGCGCTAGCTTCAGGCTTACTTAACAGAAATTTCTTCTGTCGGCCGAGTCCAGCAGACAAGGGGCAAATGACCCACGCAACCCATTGTTGCGCAACCAGCATCCCCTGGTCGCTGCACCGCAATAGCACGAGGACGAGAGGAACGGGCTGTTTTGAGCAGCCGCAAATTCTCGCATTGCAGACCTTTCTCCATCGCCCAGAGTTCTGGAACTCTCTCCCGCGACTATGATCAAAGTACCGCAGATTGTTGATGCAAGGTTTGTATATTGGATGCCTCAGTCTCTGGACCAGGAAGAAGTTGATGGCTGACGAGTTGTCAAGCACGCCGATTCGACATGGACAAACCGCGGCTGGTGGCGCATGTTCGCGATGGTGGCTCTCGATTTAGCGTTTGGCCTGTGAGATGCGACGCTTCGGGTGGCCCGCTGGGCTAGCTCATCGGAGGCGACGCTTCTCGAAGGTCTTGTTGCCTTCTTCCGCCGCTGGCGTGCTCTGGTCTCGGTGGCCACACCTGCTTGCGGCTGCATGACCCTGCCGCATTGCCGTGCCACAGCACTCGCAGCAAAAGATCTCATTGGGCACACGCCCGCCTTCCTTATCTACACACTACCGTTCGGCGGACATGCGCTGGGTCGCCCGCTGTGCCAAGGTCGATCAGAGGTGCCTCGTTCGACACACCCTTGCGCGCGGCGGCCGGCACGCCCCCAAGGCCTCCCCTCTCAAGGTTGCGCCTCCAGCCGTCCATCGCTGGCTGCCGGGGCTAGCGCTCGCGACCGAAGGGGGGTGGCATGCCAGGCATGCCAGGATGGCCTTCCGCCGCCCTCGTTGTGCGGATACAAGCTGCTGCTGCTGGTGGCCCGCCCGCCAGTCGCATGCCACTGGACCTTCCTGATTAGGCACTTGCTCCTGGGATGGGCTGGAGTTGGCCAGAGGCGAAGGATAACCTTTCTAGATCTTTACCCACTCGAGTGATATCGCTCGTGTTGGGCCGTCTGGCTAGTCGCCAGTGTTTCGGAAGGTGGAACAAGTCGCATGGTGCCATGCTACCCATTCTGCCCATTCACGGAATTGTACGCTGCGCTCATCATTTCCTACCTCGACCCTTCGGAAGACGGCCTGGTCGTGGCGAGATTGGCCACGCCTGTCAGTCCCAACGCACCGGCCAGCCATGGAGACGCCCGCTTCAGGGCACAGACGGGGTTCTTTGATTCCAGGACCACTCTCTATCCCCCAGAGTCGCGTGCGGCCGGTTCTGACGTGCCCGTCTAGGCAAGCTCGGGATCGATACCATGCGGCTCACTCACCTCGACCTGTGATTAGGGGTGGTGGTCCCCTTGACGGTCTCCGTATGGTACAACGAGCGTTTGACTCGTTTCGGACTCGCCTCCCCTCCGCTCTACGGCGCGACGTCCCCCGTGCTACTAGTCCTCTATTAAAGACGTCGTCCCCCCCTCCCCCTCACTTCTGCATCTTTGCGCAACTCGTCAAGCCTCTCACCCTGCCCCTAGACCGAAGGACAGTTCATCATGTCTCAAACCGCGGCTCTCGACAACGAGGCCATTGCCAAGGCCCACGTGCCCCAGGCTACCGTTCAGGGCACTGAACAGGAGCTTCACAACGCCAAGGGCTCCATCGACATCACTCGTGCCGTGACCAACACGTACGATGAGGAGCCCCTCGGCAAGTACGAGGATGATCCCACCGAAGAGGACCTGCACACCCTCCGCCGTGTCTCTGGTGGCATCCAGTGGTCCATGTACACCATCGCTTTCGCCGAGCTTTGCGAGCGATTCTCGTACTACGGATCTGCTGTCCTGTACACCAACTTTGTCAACCGTCCTCTCCCCCCCGGTTCGACCACCGGCGCCCCTGCCGACCCCAATGGCAGCATCATTCCTGGCGCCCTCGGCATGGGCCCCAAGGCTGCTCAGGGTATCAACCTGTTCAACCAGTTCTTCGCCTACCTGATGCCTCTGTTTGGGTATGTCGTCACCCCTTTTTTTCTGTATTCCTGAAATGCGCATGCTAACGACGAACAGTGCCTGGTTGGCCGATGCCAAGCTTGGTCGTTACAAGACGATTCACATCGCCATCGTCGTCTCTACCATTGCGCACGTCATTCTCGTCGCTGCCGCCGCGCCTGGTGTCCTGACGGCCGGCAACAAGGGCGGTTTCGGTGCCTTCATCATCGGTCTCCTTCTGCTCTGCACTGGTACCGGTCTTTTCAAGGCTAACATTTCTCCCCTGCTGGCTGAGCAGAACCGCGACACCCGCATGCGCGTCGAGGTCCAGAACGGTGAGCGCGTCCTTGTCGACCCCTCGATCACCAACTCGCGTGTCTTCCTGTGGTTCTACTTCGCCATCAACATTGGAGCCACCGTCGGTCAGGTCTGCATGGTCTTCGTCGAGAAGTACCACAGCTTCTGGCTGGCCTTCTTCCTGCCCACCGTTCTCTTCCTCCTCTGTCCCCTGGTTCTTGCTCTCAACAAGAAGCACTACCATCTCACTCCTCCTACCGGCTCCGTCCTCCAGAAGTTCCTCCAGATGTTCGGCTTCGCCAAGAAGCGCTCCACTGGTGCTTTCGCCGTCAACTGGGAGGCTGCCAAGCCCTCCAACGTGCCCGTTGCTGAGCGCCCCGGCTGGATGACCTACGATGACGCCTGGGTCGACGAGGTCAAGCGTGGTCTGATGGCCTGCAAGGTCTTCCTCTTCCTGCCCATCTTCTTCCTCGCCTACAACCAGATGACCGGCAACCTCACCACCCAAGCCGGCACCATGGAGCTCCACGGCGCCCCCAACGATGTTATCCAGAACCTCAACCCCCTGTCGATCATCATCATGGTCCCCATCATGGACAAGGTCGTCTACCCCGGTCTCCGCAAGATGGGCATTGCCTTCACCCCCCTGAAGCGCATGGCCGTCGGGTTTCCAGTTCGCCACCGCCTCCATGGTCGCCGCCTGTGTCATGCAGTACTTCATTTACGAGAAGTCCCCCTGCGGCTGGAACGCCAACACGTGCGCCGAGGAGGGCGAGGTTGCCCCCATCAACGTCTGGGCCCAGTCTCTTCCCTACGTGCTCGTCGGTATCGCTGAGATTTTCACCAACGTCTCCTCGTACGAGTACGCGTTCGCCAAGGCTCCCGAGAACATGAAGTCGCTCGTCATGTCCGTCAACCTGTTCATGTCGGCCATCTCTGCCGCTCTCGGCCAGGCCTTCACCCCCATCTCGGGCGACCCCTACCTCGTCTGGAACTACGCTGCCGTCTCTGGTATCTCGTTCATCGGTGGTATCGCCTTCTGGCTCTGCTTCCGCCACCTGGACAGCCAGGAGGACAAGCTCAACATGCTCCAGAAGACCGAGTTCCTCGGCACCGTCCAGCCCAACGCTCGCCACGAGCAAGAGGAGGTTGCCGAGACCAAGGTCTGATTGCGCACTGTTTACGATTGTTGTCTAGACGATTGCATGAGAGGCCGAGGCCGCCTGGTGTTCACGTACTTTTATATGATATCCCAGTAATGCCAGGAAGGAAGGGCAGCTCGAGTGTGCCGTGAGAAGTAGTATGTAGTAATGCGACATGAGGATTCATCGCTATTTTCAAAGCTGTGACTACCATATGATTGTGAACCATTTGACGAACTTGGCATAGCTCGCGACCACACATGGCACATGTCGTCGAACGTAGGTTGGACGGCGACCACCCCTGCGAGATGGCTCAGCCGCATCGCCAAGGCTCGCAGGAGGTGGAGCTCCAGTGCCGATACTCGGAACGCCTGCGAGGCTAGCCCGACAGATGCAGTTAGATGATCCCGACGATGCGGTAGTTGTACGTCTCGACATGGCCTTCCCGCTTTACTTTTGTTCTAGGCAGTTTCCAGCTTCGAAAGGGCCGCTCGCATGGTACGGGCCACTGCTCGCATGGTACGCGAGGTGTTACTGCGGATCCCTTGTCGCGGATGTTGCCGCGGTGAGGTTTGAAGGCCTCGACTCACTCGCCACTGCGCTTCTCCCCTGTTCTCCGAGAGAGACCCAGGAGGACCAGGGTAGTTTGCTCGAGGCGGAGGAAAAAATGAGAGAATTCACGCGCCAGGTTACGGGCAGTTATGGGGATTCAGCGTCAGCAGAGAGAGGCGAGCCCGCAGGTTGACAGGGGCGCGACGCCTTCATGAGAATGTTGGTTGGTATTATGTCCCACTCCTCCAGATAGACAGCCTAGACGCTCTTCAGCTTGCCCCCATCATAGCGAATGCCCGTCGTCACGTCACCGAACCACAGGGCCGCCTTGTCCTTGACGATGTTCTTCCTGCCATACCAGGGCCCCCTGTCCATGGACATGGGCAGCCTGCTCCTGGCGACGGCGAAGTAGATGCTCTTCATGACCATGACGGGCAGCTTG